GTTATTCTTGACCTACGTACCTGCATGTCATATGTGTGGCTGTACCCATGGGAGCATGTGATGTGTGCCTACACGCGGTTCTTCCCCTGGCTGTGTATGCCCACATGCAGTTCTTCCCACATGTATGTGTGGTAGCCCAGGCTCCACTGCTCACAGTAGGGCAGCCTCTCAACTCTTCCACGTCCGCTGGCTGGGCCCCTGGCCTCAGCGTGCCTGTCCACGGTAGCCTCCGTATCAAAGCTCCTTGTCCCCAGATAGTATGTGGCCTAGTGCCTGGCGCAGAGACCATGCCACCAGAGAAAGCACGAGCATGTCTTTGAACGCTGGTCACATGCTCAGCACAGGAGTAGGGTGTCAGGGGCTGTGAGAATGGGCCCAGCCTGAGCCAGAAGCAGAGGGCTTTGTGCTGAGGCTGCCAGCAGTGGGGTACTGTGTCCCCCTGAGAGCAGAGGCTGAGGCCTGCCCCAGCCGATCCTGCTTCTGCCTTCGCCTCATGCTGAGACTCCTGGCCTTCGCGGGGTCACCCAGCAGGCTCCACTTGGTTCTTCCAGACTCCATTCAGGCCAGCCCTGCCCAGTGCTGTCCCTTACTGGCATTCTGAGTGCTTGGTAGGGTGCGCCTGGGGCCAGTGTGGCGTGATGACGAGGGGGCTGGCTCTGCTCAACCTCTGTGTCAGCTTTCTTGTCTGTAAAATGGGGATGGCACAATGGTTATGTCGCCGGACTCCCACATGGCCGGCTGCTGAGCGTGCGTCTGTGTGCCCAAGAGGAACAGAGAAGGGATCGCAGCCTGGCCATTCCCCTGGGGGGTAGTTTCTCAGTTTCCTGCTCACTGTCTCTCCAGCAAGGGCATGGGCCCTCAGGCAAAAATCTCTAAAAAGAAAGTGGAGTTGGACCATCAGCCCCCACCTCTGAAGGTGTAGTTGTACACAAGCCAATTCACAAGAAGGGCTTAGCCCAAAGCCTGCACATAGTAGGTGCTCAGGAAGTGTTAGCTCCTAGGAGTGATGATTCTCAGATGTGCCGGGGTACAAAGTACAGGGGTGCAGGCTAAAGGCTCCAGGCCTGTGGTCAGCTTAGTGTAAGCCTGGAACCTGGCCCAGTGGTCACTGTGCGTGGAGCTGACAGGAGGCAAACCCCCCTGGCCCCAGGGCCTTGTTCTCTCAGCTTTCGGGGGGAGGCGCAGTGCTCCGAGGAGAACTGGACAGCGCTGGGGCTGCTATCTGGCCTCCCCAGGCCCTATGTGGGCTTCTGTTGGGACCTGCCTGTAACCCAGCCCAGCTCCAGGTGGAGGGGGACACCTGGGGCCCCAAGTGGGAGCTCCCCGTCACACACGTTTCACCCCGACCTCACCTAGCCTGGATCACTGGCACGCAGGCACACACCTGGGCGTAAGTGCGGGCCGTGCCCACGTGGGCTCAGCTGCACTGCTGCTGCACCACTGCCGTGTCTGGAGGACTGTCACCATGACGGTGCCTTCCTTTTTCTTTTTTTTAGGTTTTTGCCACAGGGTGTGTGTGTCTCTCTTGCCAGGGAGACAGAGACAAGGAAAGTGAGAAATCACCCCAACAGGAGAGGATGGCCACACCACAATCCCTTCTCCATTCTCCTTTTGGGATTTTGGGCACACACACACACACACACACACACACACCGGGTCTAGGAGATTGTGCGATCGGTCCAGTGCATTAACCACCACATCACCTGCAGTGTGTTTCTTTTTTTAAAAAAATAACTATTTTATGTAACTTTATTCATTTATTTATTTTAATTTGACCAGAGAGGGGACAGAGTGAGAGAGAGAGAAAGGGAGAAAGCAAGCCACCAGGTCTGGGACTCCAACCGCCATCGACCATGTGAGAGTCCAGCGTCCTTAACCACCACACTACCTGCCAGCCCCATCTTTTTCTTCTTTTTTTGGAGAGGCTTTTGCTATAGGGCTCGTGTGCTCGCCAGAAAGACAGAGAGAGACAGAGAGACAGAAAGCAAGAAATCAGCCCCCCTGGGGGGATGGCCACGCCGCAATCCTTTCTACTCCGTTTTCCTCTCGGGATCTTGGGCACGCACGCACACATGTCCGGCGTGAGTTTAAGCCACCGGGTCCGGGACTTGAACCACAGTCAACTACATGGGAGTCCAGCGACATAGCCATTATGCTAACTGCTGGTCCCATATTTTTTTTTTTAAAGGTTTTTGTCGTAGGGCACATGTGCTCACGGGAGAGAAAAGGAGACAGAGACGGTGAGAAGGAAAGTGAGAAATCACCCCTTGGGGAGATGGCCACACCGCAATCCCTTCTCTTCCAATCTCCTCCTGGGATCTTGGGTACGCACGCACCAGTGCCTGGCATGATTTTTAAGTCCGGGACTTGAATTGTGGTCGGCCATGTGGGAGCCCAAGGACACAACCACTATTCCATTTGCTGGCCCCTGCAGTGCGTTTCTTCTCAACTCAAAAAAAAAGCTTCCTCTACTCAAGCAGGGTAGTTATTTATTATAATCATTTGTATGCATTTACTCATCTTTTTAAAATATTTTTTTCTTTATTCATGATAGAATGTACTGTCATGCATGAGAGAGAGAGAGAGAGAGAGAGAGAGAGAGAGGAGAGAGGAGCACCCCACCACGCCCCACCACAGGGTCTGGTCATGTGACCCCTTTCCTCCAGTCCTCCTGCCTTTCGGATCCAGGGTACAAGCGTCGCACGTGCTTCAGGCTGACCAGGCTGGAATCCGAGCCCCAGCCACTGTGTGGGACCCGGCTGCTCGCCAGGGACTACTGCCCCATGGAGCCGGGGACCACAGCCCCACAGAGCTGGGCATTACTGTGCCACGGAGCCGGGACCACTGCCCCACGGAGCCAGCCCTTTCTGTCTATCCTAAACAGTTTAGCTCTCTGCATTCTCTGTCTTTTGACTGTGCTTTGTAATTTGTTATTTTTTTAATTTTACTTTTTAAAAAAATGTGCTATAGGGCGCATGTGCTCTCTAGGGGTTGAGCAGAGAGGCAAGGCAGGAAAGCACCCCGGGGGGATGACCACACCACCATCCCTTCCCCATTCTCCTCAGGATTTGGGCACACAGGTGCACGCACTGGTGTGATTGTGAAGCCGCTGGGTCTGAGACGTGAACTGCGCAGTTGGCTGCGTGGGATCTCGCCGCCTTCACCGCCATGCCATTGCATTCTTTTTGGGGGGGAGGGGAGGAGGAGGGTTAGGAGGAGGACAGGTCTTATTTTTTCCAGCTTTCTTGAGAATAAAAACTGTGTGTGTCTAAGGTGTTTGTTTTCAAATTTCTGGGTTTTATTTGGGAGAGATTTTTGCATAGGCACGTGCGCTCACTGGAGAGTCAGAGAAAGTGAGAAATCACTCCCGGGGGGGATGGCCACGCCGCAATCCCTTCCCCTCCATTCTCCTCTTGGGATTTTGGGCATGCACGCACACGCACTGGTGTGTTTCTAGCTGCCGGGTCCCGTACTCGAACTGGGGTTGGCCATATAGTAGTCCAGCACCTCAAACATATGCCACTGCTGGCCCCGCAATGTGCTGTTTTGACACACATACACACTGTGAACTGACCCGCACACCATGCCTAATCTGCACACCTGGGTCACGCATCCCGCCCTTTTTCTGTGCCCTGTGAGGCACATCAGTAGAAGCATCTGCCTTCATCAATCCTATGATTCCTTTTTTTGGTTAATAAATTATTTATTTAATTTTATTTATTATGATTGTTATTTTTTAATTTGATGAGAGAGAGAGAGAGATAGGGCCGCTGGGTCCAGGACTCGAATCATGGTCAGCCATGTGGGAGTCCAGCACCTTAACCACCATGCCAGTTGTCAGCCCCTCTTCCAATGATTCCAAACAAGGCTGGTTTCCAGGTATTGCCGGAATGTCGTGAGCTCCTGGTGGACAGTAGCTGGTGTCCTTGGCTCTTTCTTGGGCCTCGGGTGGTGGTGAGGGTGGTGTCCCTGAATCCTGCCCACACTGACACGATCTGACTTCAGAATTTCACTCCAGCTGGGGCCCCTGGGCAGCCAGGCAATGGGGTCGAGAGGTGCAGAGGAAGACCATAGGTCAGGGGCTTTAGCTTTGGGCTTTGCAATAGGATAAACTTGGCTATGGGGGACTAGCAAGGGTCCAGGCACCCCACGGTTCCCCCCTGAGACAGGTTTCTCCTGCTGGTGACCTGGGCCGTGTAGTGTGTGAGATTTCACGGAGCCCTGCTCTCGGGATTGCTCAGTTTTCTGAATGTTAACTAAAATAAATGCTCATAAAAATGAAGTGACCTTGGGACCAGCAGTTAGTGTAATGGCTATGTTGCTGGACTCCCATGTAGACGACTGCAGTTGGAGTCGGCTTAAACTCACGCTGGGCACCTGTGCGTGTGTGCCCAAGATCCCGAGAGGAGAATGGAGGAGAAGGGATTGCGGCGTGGCCATCCCCCCTGGGGGGGGGTGATTTCTCGCTTTCTATCTCTCTGTCTCTCTCAGTCTGGCGAGTGCACGTGCCCTATAGCGAAAACCTCTCCAAAAAAAAAAAGGGGAAAAAAAATGAAGTGACCTTTCCTTCCTTCAATAGGTACACTGGGGGTGCCTCAGGGTCTCAGGCAGCTTTTCCTACTTCTGAGCACAGCAGGGTGCAGGAATAGGGGCCTCCAGTGGAAGGCTGAGGGCCCCCCCAGCATTCCCGCAGCATGCAGCCCGGCCTGGAGCATCTCTGTGATGTTTCCCTGCCCCCTGGTGGTCGGAGAGGCCCTCAGGAGAGCAGCACTCTTAGCAGGCCCTGAAGGGCCCTGTGTAGCCCCTCCCTACCCTTTCACCCACTTCAGCCAGAAAGGGTGAGACCTGGTCCCTAGGGCTCAGCCTAGGCTGCAGGTGGGGACTATGGTAGGAGCAGGTGAGGCTGCAGGTGGAGGTGGTTGGGGCAGGGATACAGGTGGGAGCTGGAGAAACCATTTAAGGGACGGGGAGGCGCTGACTGCAATTAGGCTGCTTGTCCTGTTGGGTTCGATCCTTTTTGTGTGTGGAGGGCGTGGTGGGGCTCCGCTATGAGCAGAATGCAAGGTTTCGGGCCATGGGTGCTGGGTCTGCTCTCCTTGCCAGGTAAGCGGGAAGCCAGGCCCTCCTAGTGCTGGCTCCTGTTCCTGAGTGCTGGGGAGAGGCAGAGGGAGTGGCCAGAGCCTGCAGGGACCTCCATGGCTCACAGCATGGGCATTCCGCAGGGGCTTTTCTAGAAGTCAGCTCCTGGGGGCTGGGACCCAAGGGTGGCCAGAGGCATCGGGAAAACCCGGGGAGGAACTAACAAGAGTTGTGCCCCAGACCGACTTGTTCTGGGACGGGGATGGGAACTCTAAGTCCAGCCTGACCGACCAGGACTCTCCCAGGCTGAACCTGGGCTGAGAAAGGGACTGGCCGAGAATGGTCTGTCCTGGCCTCTGCCTCCCTCCTGTGTATGCACAACACAGATCTCTTAATTGCCAGAGGGCCTTGCACTGGCCAGACACAGACAGGGAGAAAGTACCTCCCGGTGGGGCTGGTGACACCTCAATCCCTTCTCCATTTCTCCCTTTTGTTAAGGTTATGAGCCTGTTTTTCAAGCTGCTAGGGCTGGGATTCGAACTGCAGTTGGCCAGATGGGTTCCTGCTCTCTTAACCACTAGGCTGTGGGGATGGCCACATACTTGTTATGAGCCAAGTGTTGGTCCTGCTAAGGGAGCTCCTTCCTTGAGGTTGTCTAGACCTTGGCACCACTTGGGGCTGGCCAGGAGGCCCAGGCAGGCTCCCAAGACTCCTGGTTGGAGGCCTGCCCTTCACGATGGGGCTGGATCTTAGAACCTGACACCCCGCACCCACCCCTGTCTTCCCATCTCACCCATGGGGCACCCCTACATCCGTGTGCGTGTACCTGCTTGTCGGGGCCAGGTCTGCTCCTAGGGGCGCCGTCAGCCTCCAGCTGCCCAGGCACCTGTGGTACCAGCCCGCCAGAAGACCTCTCCCCCGAGGAGACCCAGGACATCCCTGCAATTAACCAAGGTGAGGGCACTGCGTCATCTTGTGACCTGGAGTGACATCACACTGTTCCTATGGGTGGCAGCCTCGCCGACCACTCAGACACAGAACAAGCTGGGAGGAAACCTACCAGCCGCTGGGTGGGCGCTAAGTGAGTGGAGGGTCAACTGAACTGCTGAAGCCTTGGGTCTGGTTCTTGGTATCTTTACCGGTGGATCATTACTTTCATAAGGAAGGAAAAACTATGGACTTACAAAAATGGCCTAGCGGATGTTGGAGAAGGTGCCAGCTGCCCTCCGAAGGATCGTCTGCAGGTGGGGCAGAGGGTGCCGAGGGGGTGCAAAGACAAGCCTGAGGGGCTCAGGTCCTACCAGCCCGGGGATCTCAGTTGAAGGATGGGGCGAGACAGCCCGGCACAAAGCTGGTAGGAGTGAGTACTGGAGGTCAGAGGGCAGGGAGTAAGGAGTGACCCCCTCTGGGAGCAGGGTGGGGATCCACGGGGTGTGGCAGTCACCATGCGGTCTGCCCCTTCTTTTTCTGCGAGCCCCAGCACCTGCCAAGCCTTGAGCCGGTACTTCTCTGACCTCAGGTCACTGAGTGGTCTTAGGTCACCCGCACCAAGCCAGTCCTCCCTAGCGTTGACTTCAGAGGCTGGGGCCCCAGCTGTCTGTGGGCTACTGCAGTGATGGCCGTCGGCGTCCTGCCTGGTGCCCCTTCTGGGGAGGTGCTGCCCGTTCTCAGCTGGCCTGAATTTGGCTAATTCCTCACAGCTGGACCTGTTTCCTGAGAACGGCCCTTGGCTGAAGGAGCTGCCTCCCCTGCCTGGGGTGCCTGGTCCTGCCTCCAGGTGGCGCACGTCCGCGGTGCCTTTGCAGCCCAGCGCTGCTGGGAACCGGGCTAAGACCACCCTTCAGCGGGGCCTGTGCCGTCCCAGTCCTCTCCGGCCCCCTTCACTGCCTGTAGAAATCCCTTGCAGAAGACTGGGGAGAGGTGGGAGGCAGAGGCCCGCTGAGGAGGGAGGAACCTGCAGGAGCCCACACTCGCCCTCCTGCTCTGGAATTTGTTACGCCGCATCTCCGATGCCTGACTGAGCACAGACAGGTGGGGGTGAGCCTGCAAGGTGTACCCGTGCTCCGAGGAGTCGAGTCAGCGTGGCTGGAGTGCAGGGTGCAGGTGGCAGCGGGAGCAGAGCTGCTCTCTGACAGCAGAGACCTGGGGTTGGGGCTGGGCCCCGTGGTTGTGGGAGCTGTGACTTGGTGTGAGCGGGAGAAGGATGCGGTCACCCCTAGCGGCATCCCACGTAGGCTGGGACTCAGAGGGGCTGTGCAGCTTGCCCAAGGCCACACAGCCTCAGTGCTCAGGGAAATTCTAGTTCCCAAGTTGGAGAAGACACAGAGCCGGGGGTGGGAGGGGGTGGCTTGGCCTGGTGGCTGACACTGCTCCTCAGCCTGTCCCTGGAGTCTGCTTTGGAGGCCAGGGGTCAACGCACATCTCTTTCTCCCCAGGGCTTATCCCGGAGGAAACCCCAGAGAGCAGCTTCCTCCTGGAGGGCGACATCATCCGGCCAGTAAGTGCACACACACCAACACACGGGGTGTAAAGAACCTCGCTGATGGCAGGGAGGCCCTCGGAGCCCCCTGTGGGGCACAGATTTGACATGTGAGACTGGCATTATTTCTTATTGCATGGTAGACACTCCTGTTGTCAGGGTCAGAGTGAATATTCTGTTAGCAAGGCCTGGATAAAAGGGGGCGTGGCATCTAAAGTGGTGTCAGTCAGTCCGAGAGGGCTTCCTGAAGGAAGAGGCTTGAACCTTCAAGTCCCAGCTTGGTATTCTGACCAGGGGAGTAGGCAGGAAGTATTGGGATAAAGGATGAGATGAGCCCAGATTGGCAAGGAGTGGTGAGTGTGTGTGGGTGGGTGAGGGAGTGTGTGGGTGGGTGGGGGCGGTGGTGGAGGCCAGGGGTCAACGCACATCTCTTTCTCCCCAGGGCTTATCCCGGAGGAAACCCCAGAGAGCAGCTTCCTCCTGGAGGGCGACATCATCCGGCCAGTAAGTGCACACACACCAACACACGGGGTGTAAAGAACCTCGCTGATGGCAGGGAGGCCCTCGGAGCCCCCTGTGGGGCACAGATTTGACATGTGAGACTGGCATTATTTCTTATTGCATGGTAGACACTCCTGTTGTCAGGGTCAGAGTGAATATTCTGTTAGCAAGGCCTGGATAAAAGGGGGCGTGGCATCTAAAGTGGTGTCAGTCAGTCCGAGAGGGCTTCCTGAAGGAAGAGGCTTGAACCTTCAAGTCCCAGCTTGGTATTCTGACCAGGGGAGTAGGCAGGAAGTATTGGGATAAAGGATGAGATGAGCCCAGATTGGCAAGGAGTGGTGAGTGTGTGTGGGTGGGTGAGGGAGTGTGTGGGTGGGTGAGGGAGTGTGTGGGTGGGTGAGGGAGTGTGTGTGAGAGTGTCAGTGTGTGGCGAAGGGCTTGGGTGGCAGCAATGACCCAGGGTAACGTGGACAGACTATCCTGGCTGGGCTTGAGGGGCCGTGAGGGAGCGGGCTGGTGGGAACCGGGCAACTCGTGGTGGAGGAGGGTCTGACTGTGTTCTGGAGCGCAGCGCCATGTTCTAGGTGACTGGGCTGGCCATTTCTGATAGGACGGTGACCAAATAGAGTGCAAGACTGTCCTGCCAGTTTGGGGGCTGCCCCCTGGCGGTGTGGCACAGGGGTAGGGAGTGACCCCAGGGTAGGCGGGGCTCTGTCCTGCAAGTGTGTGCGAAGGCAGCTTCTGTGCAGAGCAGTCACTGAAAGCCATTGGCGGCTGGCTGCTGGGCAGGACGGGCTGGGGGCTGTGGCGCTGGTCACAAAGGATTCTGGCTGGTGGAGGATAGAGGAGGGGCCGCCGCGGGGTTGCCTTTGCGCTCTGAGTAGGTCCTGGCCCCATCTCCTCTCCATGTCCGGGGGAACCTGGCTGGCTGCTTTGTGCTGGGACTTGGCCAAACCTCCCTGCGGACCAGCCTTGGTCCTGTGGACTTGTGAACGTGCGTTGCAAGCTCCGTGCCCTTGTGGACCAGAGGCTTGTCTTGTGCGTGGGAACGGGCGCAGCTGGCCTGATGGCCTCCTGGGGCTTAGTCCATGTCTCGTGGTCTTCCCTCTCCGTCACCAGATCCTTCCGCTCTCACTTCCAGGGGACTGGTGGCTTGGGGCGTGGCAATCCTGGGGTGCAAGGCTTGGGTGGCCTGTGTTCCCAGGGACCTCAGAGCTGCCCTCTCTCCTCAGAGTCCCTTCCGACTGCTGTCGGCCACCAGCAGCAAGTGGCCCAAGAGTGCTGGGGGCGTTGTGGAGGTCCCCTTCCTGCTCTCCAGCAAGTACGGTGAGTGGCGTGGCCCCTTCTTCCTGTTGCAGCGCCGGCTTCTCCTTGCCCTCCTCTACCTGTGCTCAGAGCCCTTCTGCTCCCAGGGGCCTCCTGGGCCCGGCCTGTGAGGATCCTGGAGAGCAGAAGAAAAGGTGGATCTAGGGACTCACTGGTCCCTCATGAGGCTGGGTGGCCCAGGGGACAGCGGCCCACCCATGGCCACACAGATTGTCTTCGCTGGTTCTATTTTGGGAGATGTCATGATTGGGATGGTAGTTCATCCCCTAAAGTTTCCTCTTTTGGAATTTGGTGTTGGGATGTGGTGAGGACAAGTGGGGGTGATTGGGTCCCGGTGATTCCATCCTGGAGGTAGCGCTCTTGTGAACAGACTAAAGATGTGTCACGATCCGGTGGGTTTTAGATCTCACGAGAAGAGTCTTGTTCTGGGCCAGCCCGTGGTGTGGTGAAGGTAGCTGGATCCCACGTGGCTAAGTGTGAGTTTCAAGTCCCAGACGACCCAGAGGTTTGAGAAACACGCATTGTGTGTGTGTGTGTCCAAAATCCTAAGAGGAGAAGGGATTGTAGTGTGACCACACCCACTGTGGGGGTGCTTTCTCACCTTTTTTTTGGGAGAGGTTTTTTGCTATAGGGCGTGTGCATTCGCCAGAAAGACAGAGACAGAGACAGAAAGCGAGAAATCACCCCCCAGGGGGGATGGTCACGCCGCAATCCCTTCTCCTCCATTCTCCTCTCGGGATCTTGGGCATGCATGCACACACGCCCGGCGTGAGTTTTAAGCCACTGGGTCCAGGACGCGAACCGCGGTCGACTACGTGGGAGTCCAGCGACATAGCCATTACGCTAACTGCTGGTCCCCGTGCTTTCTCATTTTCCATCGCGCGCTCTCTCCAAGTGCACATGCCCTATAGCAAATTAAACAAAAATAATTAAAGAAGTCTGCTGTCACGAGAGCTGGTTGCTGTAAGACAGCCAGCCGTGCTCTCTCTGTACACACCTCCCGTCCTCCTGCTCCGGTTGGCTACACCATAGGCATAGCCCTTGGGGCATTCCAGATTCGGACGCCAGAACTATGAATTCCATAAATAAGCCTTTATCTTCTTGATAAAATCACCCAGGCTCTCAGGTGTTTGTTAGCAATGCAGAAACAGAGTCAGACGCCCTGTTATTTATTATTATTATTTTTTTAAAGAGATTTTTGCTATAGGGCACATGTGCATGCTGGAGAGACAGAAAATGAGAAATCGCTTCCCAGGGGGTGCAATCCCTCCTCCTCTATTCTTCTCTTGGGATTTTGGGCACGCACGCACACACGCCTGGTGTGTTTCAAGCTGCTGGGTCTGGGACTCAAACTGTGGTCAACTACTTGGGAGTCCAGTGACATGAGCATCGTGCCCTTTGTTGGTCCCCGGAGCCCTGTCCTAGCCCTCCGCACAGACCTTGGACCACGAGGGCTCTGGGGCCTGGCCGAGTTCAGCCACGCTGTCTCTCCCCAGATGAGCCCAGCCGTGAGACCATCCTGCAGGCATTCGCTGACTTCGAACGTTTCACCTGCATCCGGTTCGTGGCCTACCAGGGCCAGAGAGACTTCATCTCCATCATCCCCATGTCCGGGTGAGTAATGGGGAGTGTGCCCTTCCTTGCAGCTGCTCAGCCCAGAACTCGCCACGCCGCTGCGTCCAATGCCTATTTCTGGGCCATCCTCCTGGGCTGGGTCCCCCTGCCCAGCTGAGTGGCTCGTTCAACTTGAGCTGGGACCTGGAGGGAGAAGTGGGTGGCAGGATGGGATTTAGGCACTAAGCCCTCACTGACACAGCCCTTATCTTCTGGGAGGCCCCATGGTGTGGTGTGTATGGGCTCCGTGGGCCAGGCCTTGGGTCCTGGTTCCAGTGTCTGGGCCATGTGGGTCCCGGCAGGCGCCCTGACTGCAGGCTGCTGCTGCCATCTGAGACGGGACAGCACCTATTTCTAACTCGTTAGGGCCTGAGATAACAGAAGCACTGACTTGGGGCCCGCCACGTGGGTCCACTCGGAGTTGCTGGTGTGGTCCCCATGGATATCAGTGTCCACCTCCCCTGCAGCCCAGGGCTGATGGGTCCTGTGACTCCCCTCCTAGAACACCCTGCAGTAAAGGGACTTCAGGGGGAAGCAAACCCAGCCCGCCTGTCTGGTGCTCCTCCGCACCACCCCTGGGAGGGCAGGAAGGGCCTGGCTGACTTCTGTCTGAGTCGGTGCCCATCTGGTTACCTTTGTGACCCTACAGGTGCTTCTCTGGAGTGGGGCGCAGTGGAGGGATGCAGGTGGTATCCCTGGGGCCTGCCTGTCTCCAGAAGGGCCGGGGCATTGTCCTGCATGAACTCATGCATGTGCTGGGCTTCTGGCATGAACACGCACGGGCCGACCGGGACCGCTACATCCGTGTCAACTGGAATGAGATCCTCCCAGGTAAGCTGGGGGTGCACAGGCCAGAGGGGGTAGCAGGTTCAGGACCGAGGAATGCCCTGGCTCCTTCAGAAGGGGTGCGCATCCTCCCCACCACCTGCCTGCCCCCGGGGAAGGTGAGGTTTCTGCTTCCCTTTGGGACATGGGGAGTCAGCCAGCTACCACTACCCTGGGCTCCAGACCCCCGCCCGTCCACCCACAGTCATGCCTAAGCTAGGCCACGCTGTCCGTCACCTGGAGATAGCGTCAAGGATCCCAGGGCCCTTTGCTCAGTGAGTGCTGGGCTCACAGTCCCTTGAAAGTCGGGCCATTGCACGGAGCTGGACAGGGGAGGGGACAATGGTGTGACCATCCCCCACGAGGGGTGCTTGCTTTCTGTTTCCTTTCACTCTGGCAGTGCATACCCTCTCTGGAAAAAGTGAAAATAAAAACAAAAACTTGCCCTATGATGTGCTCTGGAAAAAAGTTAGTATCTGAAAAAGTAGCTAATATATTGTGTTCATGATATACAGTAAAAATTAGAAACTGAAACAAAAGATACTCCCACCTGGAAATGAAAATAAAACCAACAAATCTTTCTGTCAGATCTGGAGTTAAGTACTTGTAGGAGTTATATAAAAAGTAACACAATAGGGGCCAGCGGTTAGCATAATGGCTATGTCGCTGGACTCCCACGTAGTCGACCGCGGTTCAAGTCCTGGACCTGGTGGCTTAAACTCACGCTGGGTGTGTGTGCGTGCGTGCCCAAGATCCCAAGAGGAGAATGGAGGAGAAGGGATTGCGGTGTGACCATCCCCCCTGGGGAGTGATTTCTCGCTTTCTGTCTCTGTCTCTCTCTGTCTGTCTGGCGAGTGCATGCACCCTCTAGCGAAAACCTCTAAAAAATAAAAACCCAAAACGCAAAATCCCATCCTAAAATGCTGCATTAAAATCTGTAGCTCCTAACTAATGCAATTCTCAGAAAACATATAGGTTCTTCTATTAGTAAGAACAGAACAAACGTGAAGGAAAATGAAAAGTGGGAGAGAATGAATGAAGGTA